CAGGAAACAAATGTAAGACTGTACAATGAAAACATCAACACTTGTGAAAGATCTGTTCTCACATCTTAACACAAGGGAGAACAAAATCTATTTTCTGATTTAAAATTTGTTGCTTGAATATATTCTTAAAATTACTTAACCAGTAAGTTGCTTTTTAAAAAAGCAGCTATAATACATACTGTCAGATGCCCCCTCCCAAACCACATTAAAATATAGCTATAGGAACATGTTTTTTCTCATATTACTAAATTCACATTTGTTTCTTAGGATACTACTTGAGTATTAGTAGAAATGGATAAAATTTTCTTTCTTCATAAATTTGACAAAGAAGGTTAATATACAATGATGTAAGAGTCAATTCATCAGGAGGACATATTATAAATATATATGCACCAAACATCATAGCACTTAAATATACAAAGCAAACCATGACAGAACTGAAGGGAGAAATAGACATTAAGTTAATAGTAGGAGGCTTTGAAACCTCACTTTCAATAATGGATAGGCTTTTCAAACAGAAAATCCATAAGGACACAGTGGACTTGAACAACAATATAGATCAGAGAAACCTAATGAACACATACAGAACATTCCACCCCCAAACAGAATATACATTCTTCAAGTAAACACACCACATTCTCTAGCATAAATCACAATAGGTCACAAAATAATTATTTAAAAATTAAGAAGAGTGAAATTATATCCAGTATCTTTGCTGACCACAATAGAATAAAACTAGAAATCAACTGCAGAAAGAAAACTGGAAAATTCACATATGGGGAAATTAAACAACAGACTCTTCAACAACCAGTGGGTCAAAGAAGGAATCAAAATGGAAATTAGAAAATACCTTGAGATGAATGATGACAAAAACAAAACGTACCAAAACCTGATGGGATGCAGCAAAAGCTGCAGTAAGACGAAAGTTTGCTGTAATTAATGTCTTTATTAATTTTCAAAAAAAAAATGTATCTCAAATAATTTATATTTACACTTCAAGAAGGTAGAAAAAGAACAAATTAAGGCCAAAGTCAGCAGATGGAAAAATACAGTAAAGACTAAAGCAGAAATAAAATAGAGTAGAGTATAAAAAATCAATAGAGCTGAACTGTTTTTTGAAAAATAAACAAAACGCACAAACCCTCAGACAGACTCATTCAGAAAAAAAGACTCAAATAAAATCAGTAATGGAAAATGAGACATTGCAACTGATAACACAGACATACTAAGCATCAAAAGAGAATACAGTAAGTGGAAAACCTATAAGAAATGAATAAACTCCTAGAAACATATTCTATCAAGACTAAGTCATGAAGAAATAGAAAATATGAATAGAACTACAATTAGTATGAATGTTGAGTCAGCGATCAAAAACTCCTCTAACAACAACAAAAAAGAAGACAAAAACAAAACACAAAAAAACAGGAGGATCAGATGGCTTCATGGGTGAATGTTATCAAATATTTAAAGAATTAAGGCCAGTACTTTTCAATTCTTCCAAGAGAAGAAGAAAAGGAAACACTTCCAAAATCATTTTATGAGGCCATCATTATCCAGTTATTAAAGCAAGGTGAGGAAGGATACTACAAGAAAAGAAAACTGCATGTTGGTGCCATGATAAATGCAGATGCAAAAATCCCCAACATGATACTAGCAAACTGAATTCAACAGCATATTAAAAGTGTCAAACACCATGGCAAAGTGAGATTTATCACTGGAATGCCAGATGGTTCAATATTTGCAAATGCACTGTTACATGTGGTGTATGATATACCAAATTAAAAGAATAAAGAATAAAAATCATATGAACATCTCAATAGATACAGAAAAATCATTTAACAAAATTCAACATTCTTTGATGAAAAAAAAAACCCTCGCTAAGAAGTATTGTATCTTAATTTTTGACCTCAATAAAGGTCAAAAGCCTAAAGCTAACGTCATACTCAATGGCAAAAAACCTTAAGGCTTTTCCTCTAAGATTAGGAACAAAGCAAGGATGCCCATTCTTGCCACTTCTATTCACTATAGTACTAGAAGTACCAGCCAGAAATGTTAGGTAAAGGAAAAGAAAGAAAATGCATCCAAATTGTAAAGGAAGAAGTCAAATTATCTGTTTGCAGGTGACATCTTATGTATAGAAAATCCAAAGAAGCTACAACAACAACAACAACAACAAAAAAACCTTTAGAACTAATCAACAAATTCAGTAAAGTTGCAGGATATAAAAATCCACACACACACACACACACAAATAAGAGGAATTTCTATATACTAACAATGAACTGTTTGAAAAGGAAATTAAGAAAGCAATCCCATTTATCCCATTTATGACAGCAGCAAAAAGAACAGAATACTTAGGAATACACTCAATCAAGGATGTAAAAAATTTAAACAATGAAAACCACAAAATATGGATGAAAGAAGTTATCAAAAAGATAAATGCACCCTCATGTTCATTTCAATATCATTCACAATAGCCAAGACACAGAAACAATGTAAATACCTATCACTGAATGAATGGAAAAAGAAAATACGATACAGATACACAAGGGAATATTGTTCAGCCATAAAAAGGATGGAAATCCTGACATTTATGTCAATATATGTGGACCTTGAATGCAAATGTCAAGTGAAATACTGTATGATCTCACCCATATGTGGAATGTAAAAAAGCTGAACTTAAGAGGAATAGTGTAGGATGGTAGTTGCCAGGGGCTAGCTACTCAAGTTTCAGTTATGCAATATGATTAAGTTCTAGAGACCCACTGTACCACATTGTGCCTACAGTTCACAATACTCAACTGTTTAGTTAAGTAACAGCTGAGCTAGAGCTCATGCTAAGTGTTGTTACAGCACACAGTAGGCATGCTCAGAGAAACTCAAGTGCCTCTTCACTTCCCCTACTTGCATAAATGAAACACACATTTTATTTATTTTAAAATAATGCATTGGAATGTTATACTTAAATAATACCATTTGGATGAAATACAAGGTAGAGGGTGGGAAGGGATAGACTGGGGTTTCAAAACTGTAGAATAGATAAACAAGATTACACTGTATAGCACAGGGAAATATACACAAAATGTTATGATAAATCACAGAGAAAAAAATGTGACAATGAGTGTGTATATGTCCATGAATGACTGAAAAATTGTGCTGAACACTGGAATTTGACACAACACTGTAAAATAATTATGAATCAATAAAAAATGTTAAAAAAAAGACTCACTATCTATTCTCATGCAAACTGTTTTAAAGATACACACAATACAAGTTGTCCACAGTAATTATTGAGACAAGTAAATGATATTCAGGCCATGGAATTATTAGATCACTAAAAAGGATCATGACTATACTGTGGTTAAAGGTCAATTACAGCACTGGGGTGGATGTACTGAATTTATGTCACGCTGTAACAGGCAATCAGGAAGGTCAACTTTGATGAGGACTTGCACAGACAGATTAGCAGTGACATTTCAAATGGTCTTGATTCAAACCTCTCCATTTCTGTAAGTTTAAGATTCTTATGAATTTGCATAAATAAGCTAGGATAATAAGTAGAACGTATATACTGCAACAATATACCTTAATAGCCTTAATTTCATTATATTTGCCTTATCTTTAAGTAACAGCAAACAACATATCTCAGATATAACAGATTTGATGGATGGAGACTAAATTAGCTTTGAAATATTGAGATGAATTTAGCTTTATGCAGAATAGTGGACATTTTAATAGACAGTAAGAAGTGGTAAGTTTAATAATGTCTGCTAAAATATACCCATCCCCCAAATGTGAGTACTTTCAATAAAAGTATTTGAGATGATATCACATATTATACATGTATATGGATGACACCCACACACGTTATATTTTCACTTAAATATTTTAAAATAACTTCTAAAATATGAACAAATTTTCCCCACTGTTTAAAATCCTTCAACCCATTAACCTCTGACAAGAATTATACACACTAGCATGATCATACGTAGGATACTCAATAGACAGCTTTATAAAATACTTTTGACTGAAATGTGGCCAGAATATTACTGACAAAAAGTTCACATGTGATTTTCATACGTCACCAAACATTAGAATCAACATTCTATAACAATATAGAAATAACCATGAGGAATCCAGAATAAAGAGCTACCAAATTTTCCTCTTAAGAATCACTCTTCTAATCACTTTTGCATTCAAAGTGAGATTTTTGCATTTAATACAAACATAAATGGGTGCCCAATTACTATACATCTATCTCCATTTTCCACAATAAATGTGTTACAGTAAGCTTATGTCACATTGGGAGGGAGTGGAATGATCAGTGAAAAATGTGGCTAGTCTGCAAATGATTTCTTGAGCTATACTATAGCAACTTTTCATAGAGAAATAGGACATGTCTTGACAAAGAGAAAGTGAGAAGCAGGATGGTAAAGAAGGCTTACTGACATGTCGAACAGCTTGGTAGTTTAGCAATAGTTTGTCAAACTGTTGAACTCCCACTGTTACAGTTCACAACTAAAGGTTCCTGAAGTTTTAAAAAGGTCATGGTTTTGGGCACAGAGTGTGCCACTGCATGAGGTGGGTACCAATTGCACAATTTCAAGAAGAGAAAACAAATGTGGGTAAAGTAACCTTCTTCCTCCTGTCTTGTTTCCTCCTCAAAGTAGTACTTTTAGCTTAATGTACGTATGCACATATAGATGAATATGTTATTAATTTCATGATATTGGTTGTCTCCTATTAACAAGGACATGTTAAAATTCAAACTGAATATATAACCAAATAACTATCCTATCACCCAACCAGCCTACAATTCACACTATTTTAAAAAGAGTGCGTCAATATAATTATTCTGTGGTCCTTTTTCTCCAACTAGCCATGACAAATTTCACAGATTTACAGCTATAGGTCCCAATCCCTGCATCATTCACTTAACTTCCACGCCAGAACAAAGGCTGGAATTACTATGTATAATTCAAATACAGTGCAATACAATGGGAAGTATAGCTCAGTGGTAGAGTGTATGACTGGCATGCATGAGGTCCTGGGTTCAATCCCCAGTACCTCCATTAAAGATAAATAAACAAACAAACCTTAATTACCTACCACCCAAACAAAGTTCAAAAAATAAAAATAAACAAATAAAAAATAAACAAATACAGCACAATTAGATGAGACCTACAAAGAACACTTTGTTTTCTTCTTTTTCTTTTAAAAAAAAGGTCAATTCTCCTTTCTATGTAGAATTTGCATAATGTTCCAGAGAAACTTTTTAAATCCATAAATATAAAGGTATAGTTTATTTTAATCAGTGTTCATTTACTAAATGGGCAATCAAGAATTTTATTTAATTTTATTTAAAAATTCTTAAGTGCAAGCTAAGGTGGTAAGGAAAGAAAAGTGAAAAAGGAATCAACGTGTCCTTCAACAGATAAATGAATTTTTTGTATTTTAATTTTCTAACTATGGAACTAACGCTTACTGGGTATATATTTCTTTATATATGTATGGATATGTACATATTTAATGTTATGCTTATAAATAAATGCTATGACTGTAAGTTTACTGTCATTCTATTTTTGTGTACGTATCTTGATTGTTGATTACGACCCCAAGAGCCCACTGGTGTCTCTGGATATGCATCATAATCTCCTCAGAAAGGGGTCTTGTGTTTGCTTCTCTCTCTGTAGAGCAGCCATGCTGGCGACAAAAGTACCGTGATCTCACCCCTCTCTTCTTACTTTCTGTCATCTTTCCTCAGTTAGCTGAGTTTTGTTTTAGACTCATATTTTCAATTTCTTGGCAGTATTTTTACCTAAAGATCTTCCAGAGTGAGAATATTTCAGACAAGAAAGACAGAAAGAGCAAAAGAGGTAAGTTTTCGGGTTATAAATCTAGAAAATTTACAGCTGACTATATGGGGATGGATGTTCAGAGGACTGCTCCAGAAATAACCATTTCAATGTTGGATCTATAAATAATTGTAAGGTTGGTGACACTATTAACTGAGACAGGGAAATGTGAAAAAAAAAATCCAGCACATTTACCAGGAAAAAAAACACATGTTCTGTTTAAAACTAACTATGCATTCAGTCTACCTCCTTATTTTACAAGAAGTGAGTTCAATGTACAAGAATCAAATTTTTATCCTTTGCTATATAATAGAAAGTTTTGAAATCTCTATTCAATGACTGTTACATCACTTTTTACAGGAACTTCGTTTATTGAAAAAATGTTTTCTATAAAAATATTTACTTTAGAAATTTGTCTCAAAATTCTGTATGTTGGAATTAGGTTATTTTTCAAACTCCCAGTGACAAGCATATTCTAATGTTTAATTTCACATTAGCGTATGTAATTCACATTAAGTTGTGAATGATTTGAATAAAGAATACAAAACATGATAAAATGAATCATGCCCAAAAAGTGGGGCATTGGAGCAGACGTAAATAACCAAATTGTATTTCCTCTAATAATTGTCATGTGGCATGCTTTAAATGAATTCATGCCCTAAGCCTCATTTATCCTGAGCAGGCATCTAGATTTTGATATGAAAATAAAATACTTTTTATTTCAAAAACATGTTGCTTTTGGAACACAGGTACACATTTTCTTGGTATTTGTTAAATGCATTCAAAACAATTTATTTATATAATCTTTTTCAATTAATAAGAATCTAGGTTAAACAGAAGGAGCAGATGTGCCATTTATGAGAGCTAATATTTATTAGAATGCTGTTACTGGCTTAACTAATTATGGGCATAGTCATAGTTGTCATAGAAATCAGTTATCTTTCATTTAAGTTCTGCATTTATGTGATGATAGCTGTAATTGCTTATCTGAGGTTATCACAAATTTGCCAACCCTGACAGCAAATAACCTCAAAAATCTGCCTTTTACAAGCCAAAGAGATATTTATAGTGTTTTAATAAATGATAAACAAGTTCTAGAAATGAGATATCTAAATAGTTAATATAAAATATTTGCACTTAAATATTTATAGGCACCCTTCATAAAAAGTTAAATAAAAATGTGTTGTTTAATCATATATAAATATGTATATATAGTGTAAATATGTACATATGTGTGTGTATATATAATATCTGAAGGAATTGTTTTTTCCTTTGAGTGACTTTTTCAATAAATATAAGATACATTTATTTACATAAATAAATTACTTAGATAATGAATTTACATAAATTTTAAAAAAATCTGAATTCTGACATCCCAGGCAAGTCTTTATCAATATGTTAATCATGAAATATTTGTCTCATTTTTACTGCAGTTAAAAGAAGGCAAAAAGTTAAAATAGGCCAAAGATTAGAACTGATATTTTACTAAGATGATAATACACAAATGGCCAATAAGCAATGAAAAAGCATTTATCATCAGAGATCTGGAAAATGTAAAGAATAACAACATGATATAGATGTATACCCAAGTCAGAATAGCAAATATTAAAAATTCCTACATTAGGAATTGTATTATGGAGAATATGTATCACAACTGAAACCCCTATACATTGTTGAAAGGATTTTAAAATGGTACAACCACTTTTGAAAACTGTGAGGAAATTTCTTAATTTCTTATAAAATTAAATGTGTACTCTGTCATCTATCCATACAATGGGTATTGTAAAAAAAAAAGTTTAAACTACTAGTATCTATAATAATTTTTATGAACATGAAAAAGTAGTGTGGTTAATGAAAAC